CAAGGGGAAAGTACTGGACGAAGTGCCCTGTGTGTGACCTCCTTCTTCCCTCTGAAGTTCAATGCATCCGTCTCACGGGGAGGCCAGAGAAGCTCAGACGCAGGCCCATTGCTTCTTCTAGTATCAGGCTGTGTGATGGGCATATGTTAGTCTATCAGAATGGACCTCCTGGTCTTTAAGGAGTTACAGTAGACCTCAATGGCCACAGTTCTTCACATACAGTCAAGCTTTGCTTCTACTTTTCCTTCATTATCTGGCCTCGGGCAGACCTGGCCATGGTCTACCACAGAAGGGAGGCGTGTCTTTCATGACCTGTAAGAAGGAGGCCCTCTATGCTGGTTCTGAAAAGATCGCCCATAATCCCTTAGAGAGAAACAACACTTTGATGAAGTGTTTCTGACATACTAAAATATAACTCAATCTAGTTTGCAAATACATTTTTGATATAACTAAGGCATATCTTGTTTTCTTATATGTTTTACTCCAAAGACTCAGGGTGTTTTGCTTGATCAATGTGTATTTTACTGTGTATTTAATGTGCACCAGGAACTAGAAAATACAGGCTTTACAAATGAGTTCTTTAAGGAACTTATGGAATAATCTTCACTATAGTTTTGAATAATGTAGCAGTTAGGGAGGACATCAGCCCACTTTCCTTCTCTCCTACGTCTGCCGTTCAGTAGTCCTGGGTCAGAAGGAAGAGGGTGAGCCCCTCGATCACCAAAGCGACTCAGATGCCCCCAGGGGACACGGTCCGAACTTCGCGCGGAGCCTGCGCTCACAGGGCCCGCGAGAACCTCCAGGGCTGACAGTTGTTTCGCACACCGTATGCGTCAGAAAGGACTGGAAAGTCAGCGAGGCAGCACCACGTCTGCCGAGCCAGAGGCACGTGTTGCCAGAGCGGGGCTTCCATCGCTGGCTGAACCAGACTCACACCTGTAGCTCGAAGGATTCCTGCAATGAATGAGCCTGCTTACCGAGAACGCTACCTACCAACAAAATTCAAACACTCCCCAGGGAGTTCCTTTTTTTTTTTTTTAAATTAAGCAAAATCCAAGTCAGGTGTAGCCTGAAACTGCCCGCAGTTGCCAGGTGCAGCCAGCCGCGTAGCAGCAGCTCACCCACGGAACTGCACCCACGTTCCCGATGTCCACGGTCAGCAGAGATTCGGCTTAACACGGGGCGAGAGCCACCCTGAAACAGGACACGCTGGCCCGAGGCAGTGTGGCCCACCTGTGCCACCAGGCTGCTAGCTGGGCGTGGGAACCCAAAGCCCTGAGACTCCAAACACCCTGACATCTCAAGTGTTAGCTTGAAAATTCCCTAAGATGAATGTCATTTAATTGCAACGTCATTTACTTCCAAGTTTATTTTAATATGATAGTAACAACCATCTACTGAATATGAAAGACTGGACAGCCCCTGTGCTAAGAATTTTACATAAATTATCTTATTTACTTCTCACAATAGCAGGTGCATTTTCTGTCCCCATTTTATAGCAAGGAGACTTCAGCTCAAGTTAAGAAACATGCCCAAGGTTATAAAATTAATCAGTGGTGAAGATGGAGTTCAAGCCACACACGTTTCGAATGATTTTTCTCCAATATGTTACACTATACTGTTGTAAATCACTTTTCAGTTAAATTAGTTAATTCTACCTCCTCAATTATCCATGCCAAGGATCAGCAAACTTTTGCTGTGAAGGGCCATGTAGTTAATATTTTAGGCTCTGGGGACCATACGTGGCTTCTGCTGGTCACACAGCTCTATGCTGCCATCGTCGTGCGTGGGCAGCACGGACAATCCTATGTGAGTCCGTGGCTATATTCCAGTAAGACGTTACTTACTGCAGCAGGCAGATCTAGGCAACAGTTTGAGAACCCTCGATGTAAGCCAAATTCATGTTCTTGACAGATCTGCGTATTTATCCTGTGGCTTTGCATAATCTCCTATTCTTGTTTAGGAAGAGCAAGTTAAAAGAAAATTATTATTATTATTATTATTTTTAAGGGAGAAGCCCATGTCAAAAGGTAAGGGAAAGGGACTTAATTGTTCGCTTCTATCCTCTACCAACCAATCGAATAACAACAGGGAACCTATCTGACCCTTCCTCCAGCCCCTCAGCCATGGATTTTCTGCTTCCCCTGGGCCTGTGGGTATCCTCTCGGCCTCTGGCCTCCGCACAGGCCACAGCCAATTTCCCTGCAGCTGTGTCCCCCCATTTAAGTGGTTATGCCTTATCTTTCCACCTGATTGGAAACATACCCGTAAAGTGCAGTGAGTTTATCTTCTACATTTTTATGGCATATCTCTACGCTTTAGCTCATGCTAGGCAAAATACGCTCTGTTAACGGAGTCCAATGAATAATTAAAGAAATGCATTCCTAGTCCAAAATCCCTAGTCCCTTGATTCACCTCTAAAACATCATTTCTAAACATGCCAACTACACTTGTGTATTTTGGTTCAAGTGTTACCTCATGTAGTTGAAATAAGTGAGAACCATAAAAGAATTGAGAATCACTGTCACTTAGGAGCTACTGTCACTGGATGTAACTGACCAAAGTAGCTAAGATTGAATTCAGAGATTTGCTTTGTTTCCAGGTTCTGAATAATGAGAGAAAAGGGTAACCTTCAGTTTAATACAGAACTGGAGGGTAAAGACTGTCAGTCATATAACACTAACAATAACTCTGGGTATCGAAATCAAGAAGCTGAGGTCGAAAAAAAATAATGGGTACACTAAAATGTCCAAATGATGATCAGAAAATAAAATGGCATATTAATAGCATTATGAATTACTGTTAACAAAGAATGTCTGATTGATACGTGCATCTCAAGTAACTCAAAAAGAATACAATATTCATGCCCTGGCTGGTTTGGCTCAGCGGTTAGAACGTCGGCCTGCGGTCCAGAGAGACCCGGGTTCGGTTCCCGCTAAGGGCACGTACCTTGGTTGCAGTTTGTCCCCAGCCCTGGTTGGGTTGTGCGGGTGGCAACCACTCGATGTGTCCCTTTCACGTCGATGTTTCTCTCTCTCTCTTCCCCTCCCATTCTATCTGAACAAAAAATGGAAAAATGTCCTTGGGTGAGAATACAATATTCAAATGACTCATGTTTTTTACATTTCACTGAGATCTTCACTGAGACCACTTAGGAGAAAGAAAACTGAAGAAATGCACAGTTTAGGACAGTCTAGTACTGTCTCATTAATTCTTAGTTGCTCCTCAAACCCCCCTGCTCCCAGGCCTCACTTCCTCCCTGCTGGAGACCACGTCCTGTCCAATAACGAAGGGTCCTCTATGAGTTCCATACTCTGATGTTAAAGAAGCTTGAAAGGGTCCCTTGTTCTACATCTTTTTCTGTACCTTGTAGATGTTGCTTGTGTGGTTTATTTCTCTCAAGTCTGCTAGTAATGATATACTTCAATTTTTAAAAACTGTCTTACCAAAAGAAATTCTAAAAATGCTATTTCAAGAATCGATCTCTCTTAGGAGAGGATATTATAAACAACATGCAACTTAATTTTTTTGAATCCTCACCTGAGGATATGCTTTTACTCATTTTTTAATTTTTTTAAGAGAGAGCGCGAGAGACATTGATGTGAGAGAGAAACATTGATCGGCTGCCTACCATGTGCACCCCAACCGGGGATTGAACCTGCAAATGAGGTATATGCCCTGACTGGGAATCAAACCCGCAACCTTTTTTGTGTATGGGACGATGCTCCAAGCAACTGAGCCACCTGGCCAAGGTGTAACTTAATTTTGAAGCAAGTATTCAGAGTGGTTTCATTGCTCAAAGTGAGGGTTCAAGGAAAAGAAATACGATCGCCAATGGGGATTTAACGTCTTAGCACGAACAGGCTTCAGCAGTTACATCGGCACGGCCAACGGCGCCCCGCCGTGCACTCCCGGACAGGCACAGTGCACATCCACACGGTAGAGACTCGGCAAGGCCTGCGAGGAGAAACTCAAAGGGCACCCTCCAAACCTGTCTGACCCCCGAAACTTTCACCCCAATGCCTGTTGCCTGTGAGAACCACTGCATGGGAAGCAGCCAGGGAAGCTTTTGGAGAGTTCATTGCTTAGTAAGTTCAAGAAACAGTTCAAAATTTTAGCCCCATCTTTATACATTTCTTCATATTTCTTCTGGAAATTCCTATACAGTTGGTTATGTCCATCCAATACAGTTCAATATAATTCCTAATATGGTTGAATATATCAGCATCGATAAATGCTACAATGAAACACAAGAAATCATGACTTGAAACTTTATCAATGAGCACTAGACATTCACCATGATCACAGCAGAAACTAGCCCTGGTTTTGCCATTAACTAAGAGTGTGACTTTGGGATAAAGAGATTTAGTCTCAATGCTTTGATACACTTCTCTCAAAAGTGGGGCGAGACTTGACATGTCTACCCAACAGGTCCGTTTTGAGAATCAAGTGATCAAGATCAAGATCAAAATCAAGACTTCTCCATAAGTATTATAAAGCATTAAAAGAGCTATAAAAGTATATAAAGGAAGATCTTATTTCAAATAGAGCATCACTTTCCTTTTCACAGACCCACACTAAACGCTATGATCTTTTTTCAAACTTTGCCAAATATCTCACTTCACCTAGTCAGAAAATTTTTATTTAGCCATTAACTATCGCAATGTGTCATCAAACATTTTTCCCCCAGAAAAAAACATGACAAAAATAAGTACTAACATCAGAAAACGTGGCTTCAAGAGGCAGAGATGTGTCGCCCAGTGGCAGGGGAGCAGTGGCCCCTGCTCTGGGCTGTCGTGAGCTCATCTGCCGCAGCCCTTCACCCCACAGAGTAAAGGCAGGGGGCTCTCTGCTCTGAGACCTTCATTAAACTATTGATCCCTTTAGCATTATCCATGATGTTCCAGCAGCTCAGCACGTCCGCTGGTGAAGTGCTGGTCTCTCACTCCTTTCAATAACTTGCACACTTTATGGAGAGGAAGTCGCCGTGATTTATTTACCTGACATTTTCCAGTCCGGATGTCGTACAGGGCCACTGAGCCACTGCGCGCCCCCACGGCTATCCTGTGACTCCGCTCGTAGTAGCTGACCATGCAGAACCTGCATTGAGCATTTAACAGACAGACAGACAGACAGAGAGACCAGGTGAGATGATCTGCGCATGGAAGATGACCTTTCCGAGATTAAAGCTAGCTCGGATATGTATATACTAAAATAAGCATATTTGTAGTTACTGCATTGAGATTTTAAAAAAATGGTTCATTTTAGTCATTCTTAAAATCAACCTAGAGAAAAGTGATGCAGAATGCCACTAAGGCCTGTTAATAATTATTTTCAATGGAAAACAACTTTACAATAACAAGCACCCTTGAATTTTGACCCAGGAGATAAGGGTCAATACAAGACAATATGAAAACTCAGTTTTGTTATGTAAATATTATGTAAATATTTCTATTTGAACAGAAATGTATTCTATCTAATTATGTTCTTGTGGTTTATTATATTATTAAGGAGTGAAATATACTTTCTAGCAGAACAATCATATAAAAGCTAAAATCATATAAAAATGTTATGCCTAAGTTCACATCAATAATTCAGAATAAAATGTCCGGCCAGTATGGCTCAGTGGTTGAGTGTTGACCCATGCACCAAGAAGTTGCCGGTTCAATCCCTGGTCATGACACATGTCCGGGCTGTGGGCCCAATCCCCAGTGGGGGGCATGCAGGAGGTGGCCAATTGATGTTCTCTCTCATCAATGTTTCTATCTCTCTCTCCCTCCCACTTCCTCTCTCTCTAAAATCAATAAAGGAAAACAAATTTTTTAAATAAATAATTTAGAATAAAAATAAGAAGTTACCCACCAGAAAAAAAGCTACCTGGCACATTGCCTAGATTTTGCACACTTATCAGTTCTTCTAAATGATAGTAGTGACTACAGGTAGTAGAGATAAGCATATTGGGCACCACATAAAAACGGGATTTAGGGAGGATGATTCGAAGGTTGTAAGAGGTTGATATATTTTTATTTATTTATTTCTAGATTCATTTTCATGACTGGATTCAGTATTTGAATTCTGGATCTAAGCTTTGTCATAATGATTTCAAGGCTATGTGGCAAGAGCCTGGGAAGGTAAGAAGAAAAACTATTAGAAGTGTAAATAAGATATGATTTTATATCCCCAAAGAGTTCTTCCCACTGTCCAGGCCTACTGTCTCAGTGTGAGCTGCCCAGATGAACATGCAGCCTACCCTAAATATTTATAAGGCTATTGAATGACTTCTACACACTCCTTGCCTTTTTTATCTTTGCCTCCATACTACCAGAAAACGTTGGTAACTTTTCTGTTGTTATTTTCTGAAACATGCAATGGAGAAGTAAAACACGACAGAAAAGAAATACCATCCTCCAGTGCTTTCTAGAGGCTGATACAGAGCAAAACACGCCTGGGGCATGAGGCGCGTTCTGAAATTCTGGTAAGGGAGGCTGAGAGACGCAGGCAAGATGTTTGAATGGGAGCATTTTGAAACCAGGGACGTTGTGGCAAAGCCATTCTGGTATTATTAGACGTTATTCCTACATATTTCATAAATCTGGAAAACTAGTAAGTTTTTAAATGTTCTGTTTGTTACTTACTACTGAGTGATGGATTCAACAATACTTTGTCCTAGCACTAAGCCTCGCCCACTGAGGCACCTCCTCTGGCTGTAGGGGAAGATTGACGCTCCAGCTCCAGCCACGCGAAAGCCGGCTTGAGCCTGCCCTGCGGGTTCTGCGGGAGCAGCTGTGGGGTGTCCTCCTGTATGTGGGTCTGAGGGAAGGAAGGGTACCGAGGGCTCCTGACACAGTAAGCTCCCCCCCCCCCATTAAGTGGTGAGTCAAACATTCATTTCCCAAAGTTTTTCCTGTTAAAGCATCATTTCTACCTCAGTTGAGAAGAATCAGCATTTAAAATCTACTGTTCTTATACTCAGAAATAAAAATGATTGAGTTCATGAAAGGTTTACTATGTTGCTTTTCAATAATTACAGTGGTCTAAGCATTGGGCATCACTACATGTCTGTATCTACGCCTACATCTACATGTGTGTGCATACACACTCAAGGTCACTCAATTTATATCCTTAGAGTAACATGGAGTAGAACGTCTAACGATTGTTTTCACAGATATTTATTCCATGAAGCTTAGTAGCCACAGGAAAATGAAGTCTCCAGAGTCATTTTTAAAACATCTGTTATTAAGCTTTGCACAGCTGTGCCAGATATCTTGCCAAAATTCCTTTTGCAAAATGTGAATATAATTACCTCTCGAAATAATCCTCTTCACAACAACCACTGATAAAATATATTTATGTTGACAAAATTTTACTTAGTTAAACTAGTATCTCAAAAGTTTTCATTACATTGACCATTATCTGTGCTCTGATGTCTAACTCGTCCTTCTATATGACCGGTAAACACCATTATTTTGGGGGGAAAAAGAGATCAAATCTATTCTTGGTATCAAATCTTGAGTCTGCCTGAAAGGAGCCTGGATCACAAGTCTGCATTTTCACTCTTGGCAATTCACTACTAGACTAATACTTCTGAGCAGTTTCTTAAAGAATTCTGAACAGGGACGGTCATATGGCATGTTTCCATCGTTGGATTTCTTATTAAATTGTTTATTTCTTTAATAATGTCTCTTTTAACAAAACAGAGTAAGTCCATTTTATAGATGCAGTCACTTCACAAGTGCCCACTCTGGAGACCGGCTGCAGCGAGCCTATCTCTGACGAGCGTTCCCAGAGCCCACCACACCCCTAGACTACTGTTCTCCATTAGGGGGCTGTCACGGTCAAGGATGGTGAGATATGCAGTCCTTGCCCCCACTCCCCAAGTTATCACAGGATGGAAGAGGAGGATTCATTACAGTTGTAAAGACTATTCTAGTCTTGACCTGATCCTACAGGAGAGTCTTGAATTCCTCCAACATTGGGGAGGGATGTTCAGAGCAAGGGTTCATGTGTGCTGAGCCTTCTGGAATTGGTATCCCAGGCTCCAATTTGCTGCACTGATAACATGTCACTTGGGCAGCATTTCTTGGGCAACAGCCTGGCAAGAATCCTTTTGTTGTGCTCACTTCAGAACAACGGTTCTTCTCTTCTGCTCAGTCCACCACAAGTAAACTGTTAATTCAGAGAGAACATCACCCCTCTTGTATATGAAAGAAGAATGAAGTGGAATTGAGTAATGTCGTAAAATGGCTTTTTGCTGGAGCCGGGGTGGTCTTCATGCAGAAATGTTAATGTCACTGACCTCCACGTTTTCATGATTGCATAGTGATCCTTTTCAGCCAAAAATCAGCTCACCTCTCTCACGCTCAGGACCGTCCTTCAGGACCCTGCAGGCCGAGGCCCTGGCGCTTCTCAGAGGCCCCTCCCCCTTTGCTCTCTCTGCTCTGGTCTCCTTGATGGCGTATCCTCCTGACTCTGCCAACAGTGTTCCCACGCTGGCTCCTGAACATTTGTTGCTCCTTCTGCTCGGAAATCCATCTTCCCCATCTCTCCGCGGCTCAGGCCCTCACTGCACGCAGGTCTCTGCTCCCAGGTACCTTGATAGAAGGCGCCTGTGGGGCCGTCCTACTAGTACAGCAGCCCTTCCTGTTACTCTAGTCCAACATCCCGTTTCTTCTTGATGAAAGTGCTCATCATCTCAGAGATCGTAAACAATACTTTATTTACTGCTTGTTTCCCTCCACAGAGACTTTCTCTTTTGTTGAACATGTGAATACATAGAGTCCAAGCAGGCAGGACACTGCAGTAAAGTTTAATTCAAAACACTACACTTATCTTACAATGACTAGTGTATAGGCATATCCAATTCTAAGACCAGTGAATAGTTAAGATGAACAACAAAGAAAACAAAACCGTCCAAAACTGTTAGGCAGAAATCAAGAACTTCCCTGTGGCCCTTCGAAAAGGAGACGAACCATTTCGGATTTACCCGACATTATCTGCCCAGGCCCTGAAGCCTGGGTGCGTCAGCACTGAGACCGGCCACTGCAAAGTACAAATGAGCTAATCCCATTTAGGGAGCTAGAAAACATTGCTTGGGCTGAAACTCAAAAAAAAGCAAATATAGTCTGAATAATGATCTATACAATAAAGTATATATTTTTGGTATCAATGTGGTCCTGGGAATAAAAATCATTCTAATAATTTGCCAGATATTTGTACCACCACACATACATGTTAATGAACATGATATTATCATACAAAACATAATTAAAATAAATATTCACTTATCAATCATTATTAAGCACCACCAGAGGTTATTCCATTTCTCCAAAGCCGTATCTGTGACTTGCACGGCCCGGAAGCAGCTCGCAGTGGGGTGGTTCGCGATGTGGAGCAGAAACATGAGCCGAGTCCGCTCCGGTGCAGGGTCCCCGAGCAAATCACTGCCTGAGAGTTTGCCGAGCGCCCGATACCTGAGCCTCTGCGCCACTTTGCACTATGTAGTCTCTCTTACATTGGTGACCTTTTAAATCCTTATCAAAAATGGCCCTCAAATAAGAAAAAAGCTGTGTGAAATTTAAGTTATTTAGGAAAAACCCAGTAAAAGGAAACACGCGGCTCTAGCAGAAATATGATTTGGGAGAAAGAAATCTGCGAAATCACTTTCTTAGCTGGGACTTTGGTCATCTGCAATGGTCTCGGGGCGGTGAGTTACTGCTGTGTAGCATATCTTAGAGCATTAGAATGCAACAAGAAATATTCTTCAACTAATCCAAAATTAATCTCCAGCTTAATGTGAAACCATCTAAAACAGTGGTTCGCAACCTTCCTAATGCCACAACCCTTTAATACAGGTCTTCATGTTGTATGTGGGCGTGTCTGCATGTGGGTGGACCCCCTGGAGACAGAGGAGCAGGCTCTCGGTTCCTAAGACCATCGGAAATATGTGTTTTCCAATGGTCTTAGGCGACCCCTGTGAAAGGGTCATTTGACCCCCAAAGGGGTCGCGACCCACAGGTTGAGAACCACTAATAAGATCTAAGGGCATCTGGAACAGAATGTATGAAATATGACTACTTACAATTTATAACTATTCGCAGTTG